TATATATAAATTCCGAGCCGTATAGCTGACGATCTAAATAGTCTAGACGAAACCCAAATCGGCAGATATTGAATTTCTGCACATCTACATTAGCCAACGCTTAGCGTGGTTGAGATAAAAGTAACTAACCTATTGTATATATTTTCTTCATTCTACTTTGACCCGATGAGTATTTACCCATCTAGATTCAACTGCATGGTTACCTTACACCGCACACACACTTTTATGACACAAGTCTCCAACGTACATATTTTTGAGGACAGGCAATTTGAAGTGCGGGATCATGGCTAGCTTTTTCATAAGCGTAACCCTTACTTTCAATCAAAATGTGCGCCATTGTAATCCATGACCTTCTGCCATTTGTATGCTATTCAAGCCTATGAAGTCTCGAAACGCAATTCAGAGATTGTTAGAATATTTGTATAAGTATTTCAGTATGACATAATAAAGGTGCACAGGTCGAAAAAGCGAGGTAAACATAGGTCCCATAATTGTGTGCGGCTACGAAACGTAATCGACGGAGTAACGAATAGCAGCAAAATGGATCTTGAACTCTACTCTGAAGCTATGCAGCCTGTCTTGAATCAGGTTACGTAACAGACGTAGAGCAACCTACAAGCCGTACTAATACGACAGTGAAAATTAGCGCGATACCATTTACTTAGCAGTTAGAAATTTTGCTCATCAAATTGTAGCTACATTACAATTTAGTCTTTAGAAATGATGAGGTCGCGACGATCGCTCTCGTCAACAGGTCACCTTTTGTAATCCAGGTAGTCCTTTTGGTGCATGGTGCCAGCGTTCGATATACTCAACATCAAGGCAGGAAACTTAGATACCCAAGCAAGAGCAGGGTTAGCAGTTTCAAAACAAGAAACCGCAGTCTTTCGAATAGTCAATGTCCATTTGCTTCGACAGGAAGCCTCGGAAACCGATTACGAACAAATAACTGAAACACTGAAATGAGTCTTCGGACATCTATTCACACGTTATCCTAGTGATATCCAATGCCGAAGTAACCGAGGTCAAAACCTGACATTCGATTACTATAGCGCGCAAATTAATTACAGATGTGAGACAGCTGACATTAAGGGTATAGAACTCGACAAATCTAAAATGTCTTCCGTGAGTGCTGTCTGGTCAAACCAAAATGCTGCTGACGTATGAACGCTTGTGATAAGACGTCGGGAAGAAAACTTTGAGATGACTCTTCAGCATCTAGAGCAGCTCACGAAAGCTTTAGAGGACATGGTAAAGGCCTGTACCGAGACCCGAGGTTGACCTTCACCAAAAAATAGGTAACAATGAAAAATCATTCCAAGATACGGTTGTTGGCTTTTAGGCTCAAGCGTATTTTCATGAATCAACACGAAGAACTCCCGGAAGACGCAACAAAGATCAACATAAGCAAACAAATTTGATCACAAATATTATAAACGCTACCATGCTTGCCAGCCTCAGGAACGCGTTGTGGTTTAGGGTCGGATCCAGGCATAGACACTCGTTTCGCGCTAGGAACCAGTCCTCTGATAAATGTTCCACCGTGATACCGGGCCTAAAACTTGAAACATAGACGTAGTATGATCGGGACCGGTAGTGAAAAACATCTAGGTACGATTCTGTCGATAGAACACGACAACTTTATTTTTAAGTTGTCGTGTTCTATCGACAGAATATCCAATCGAATTTGACCATTAAAAGTGAACGAACATGGAAAAAGCTTAGCCCCTCAAAATTACACTTCACTTATTTTGTATGCAGCAAATAGAGTTGCCCTAACACGTCGAACTTCAAACGTAAGTTTCGCACAATTTTTTCACGCAAAAAATTCGGCTCGAGTATCGCAAGACTACCGATTTACATAAAACTGACCTTTCGCCAAACATTACTCAAAAATAAATGGTACAGTGTAATACAGACGTTAACAAAGTACTATTTAAACATATTTCAGCTTTTCCTGTAACGTTAAAAAGCTATGTAACCCTAACTAGCATAGTGATGAAATACTGAATAATATGGATGCACTTTGTCTCGAAGAAAAAATATTCCATTTCCAGGTTTTAGAAACACTTCATAAAGGATAGCTAACTATTGTGAAAATGAAACAATTAGCGCGCTGGTACTTGTACTGGCTGGCTGGCTGGCTGGCTACCAATAACGTCGTAGAATGTGTTTATTATGTGCTAAAACAATAGAGAAGCCTACTGAGGCATAGACCTAAGAAACCGTGTAGGGGCATATCTATCGTTGCCGGTCTATTCAGTAGAATCTATTGCCTGTGGGCTATAGATACGCCCATTTATTAACGATCCGAAAAAGATCCCTGATTTTCAGAATATAGAAACAGACTGATACTTATTTCGATATTCAGTTTACGTCATTCAATTGTATCTGCAACGGCTTCAGCTTAGAGAAAAATACGCATAGACCCTTGTTTCACCTTGGAAGTAACAGCTGAGTCACTCACCTTCGGAAAGATTTTCAGAAAACGTCGTAGTTGAAACTTTCCTTCCTGTGGTGTTCCTGTAGCAATTACAGTGTCTCCACTAGTGTATTCGTAGAGTGCAAGGTTTATGCGAATAAGGAGAATACGGGTTCTCCTTGCCGCTTTAGTTCGAACATAAGACTTATATTAGGGAAATTTTCGGTTTTTCCAGGACTCACTACCACTTACCTGCTGACAGCCTGAGTGGCAATATTCGAGTACACGACATCGGTGTTACAATGCTCCTTGTTGCGATATATTGCATCGTTGTAAAGCAGCGACATACAAGCTTAAGATCTATCTCACTTCATACAGAGCGACTTTAGATCTCTATAATGCGGTTTCTACCTTTGAAGTGCTCTTGTATTTGCCAATAAGGCTATCAGTAGGCTATGAACTAATAGTAATAAAAACGAATAAGGGCCTCGACTAGACCAGTTGTCTATTATACCTCATTCAAAAGCGCAGAGCGCACCTAAATAGGGTACATAGCTTCACCGTGTAGTTTTTTTTCCGATAGCAATCGCTCTTAGTTACAGATGAGCCTAAAAATGAAACGCCTCTACAATGTCAGTATTAATACTGATATTTTTGCCGGGTGCCAAGTATAGTCGTGTGAAGCTCCGAATAAGTTCCGCCTGAGAGTTATTTTGAGGACTCGAGGAAGTTATACTAGCTTCTTCCTCATATGCTAGCGCATTACTGAAGTTAAACGGTGCATGATACACAATATTTAGCCCTTGCCACTCACCTTTATCAGGCAAATGCTTTATGAAATGAATTTGTTACTATACGGTGTTTAGTTCTATTCATATGTCCAGAGTGCAGGTCACTTCTACATACATACATACATACATATCGTAAATATATTAGCTGGTCAAAAGTCAAACAAATATTTTCTATATTTTGAAATAACAATATATTAAAATTATAATATTATAAAATAAACTGATGACTTCTGCCATTTTTCCAGTAATACGAAAACTCCACCACTCTAAAAGACAGCTTCTTGCAAAAATAAGACCATTAAGGAAGTTCTGCAGACACCGAGGCGATGGATTCGCTAAAACTTCATAGCCAGGTTTCCTCAACTAAAAATGAAACACAGTCAGCCATTATCATGGTAAAAAACAATCCTTTTCTATTTACCAGTTTCGGTCGATTGTTTTTAACTAATGGCTTGCTATGATCTTGCTAGTCGTTAACGGTCAAAGTCCGAACTAAGTCGGCCGGTAACAATTACAATGAATCAATACTAATATTCTATGCACGATTTTTTTTTCTAATTCGACCAGTTAAACTGGCGTTTTTGGTGTTAGTCTGGGCTCTGTCCTACCATGTCTCGGACGGATGTAATCATCCGTGATCAATTGCTCTAAAAGCATGGTAATTTTGACTTGATTTCGTTATATTTATGTGAAACTTCGTAGATGGAAATACGGTTCAGTGGGTTTGCGTCAATTTGTCGATTTTTTTTTTAACCAATTTTTCCACAAAGCTTAAAAACTGTCTAGTAGTGATATTTGGGTTTTTTTTTTTGGGGATATCACGGTGAGTCATGCTCAACTTTCTCAATGAATACATCAACTTTTTTCATAGCTGCTAGATAGCTACGGGAAGCATGTTTTACATCGAAAGTTCCAAAGTTTCTGGCTGGTTCTTTCGATAAGGCGTCTTGATTGTAAAGGGCACAAATTTTTTTGATGGGCCTACTTTTTACTTTGTTACTACCTTTATTCGTACTCTTATCATAATAAAATTGTAAAATATTTTTATGCCCGAATAAAGGTATTCGAACAAATACGACGTAACCTTTATGACCTGAGATGGAATCATCCACCTAGAAAAATACCACCCATATATATATATTGTAGGATACAATAGGATATATATCCTATTGTATCCTACGGTACATTATCATAACGTGAAACTAGTGCGCGGCCATTCCTAAATTCATTTACACGATTTGATGAAATTGTATTCACAAGTAGGCTAAAGTCGAGTGTTAGTCAAACGGCGCTCAGTCGAGAAAAAAAAAACTGAATAGAGTTTATCTTATTCATATGGCAGTGTGATGGTTTGGAAGGCCAACTGTATGGAGACACAGCACCGTGCTTTGTTAATGTGGGGCCATCCCACTTCTCCGTAAATAGGTGGGCATTTGGAACGGCCAAAGCAGTTGAAGTTGAGCACCGATCTGTTGCTCAGCTTCCACTTAAACACGGCAGATTAACAGCTCTACAGCTTGAACAAGCAACGACTCTGCATTGATTCCAACTTACAGTTTCTACATATTAGTCAGGTCTATGAGATGCCTATGAATCTGTGAGTTGTTAGGACGACAAGTGACGACCGACAACCGATGAGTCACTGTCGAGTAAACCACTCTTCGTTAACAAGATGGCCTTCAGGTAAATGTGCATATTTGACTAAACCTGTAGTGTTCGTAGTAATCCTCGAATACTGAGAATCAAGGTTATGATGTTTGATAACGGTAGCGTTATCGTGCTATGCATGACGAATAGCACGAACTTACTATATATAGTGCGCAGTATGCCCAGTTGTGGGCCTACTGATACGTGCTGCCCGGCAGGATGCTGGATGGCTTCATTTATTTTCGATCAATACAAACGTTAGTTAGTTTGAGGCCTACCGTTATCTGAATACATTACGATCTGATTTGGTAGAGTGGTCACTCCCTTGTTGATGAGAAAGATGTCTGAGATTTATAAGTTTTTGTTGTTGTTGTTGTTGTTGTTGTTTCCTCCAGAGATGGGGTACTGGTCACAGAAAGCCGAAGGTAGGTAGTAGGAAAAAAAAAAACAAAAAAAAACTGTTTTCTTTTCGCCATACGAGAAATTCAATACAATATCCCTGCCGTTTTGTGTTCTTGTGTGAGATCTGAACATAACATAACGTAAACCGAAGGCCTTTCAGACCCGTTAGCTACAACGGCCAGCTGAAACAACGAGTTATAATCGTTCAGGTGTGAATGTAGCATGACTTGCGGTAAATTGATCGTGATACTTATCCGATCCGATTATGAATCTGCTCGAAATAGTTTGGGTTCATTCATTTCACAGAGCGCTGTCTAGACTAAAAAGATCACAGATTTTTTCTAACTGGCGTACTAAGTCTTTATTTGCTACTCTGATTTGCTATCTATACGTGACGATGATGAAAAATGGTGTTTGTGCAATAGCTGTACATGAGCTACATCATACGTGTCGGTATACCTCAAAAAAAAAAAGATTTCTTCTAACGATTTCCTGAAAATTTCTTTTGACATCTTCAGACCGATTGCACACACACAGTGTACGTAACTAACATGTTTATGACCTTCGATACATCAAATATAGTGTACCCATACGTACTAAATATTTATAGCATGGAAAGCAATAACGATTTTTATATGCTCTCAAGCAATTATAGCTCGGGTGACCCTACTTGTTTAATGTCGTCAACCCGCTAATAAAGGCGTGAATCGAGGCGGTTCTCGTGTAGTAAGCACAAGATGAATGTTACAGGAATTGCTAAATATACGTCTCGCCTATCGTGGTGGTGGTGGTGGTGGTGGTGGTGGTGGTGGTGGTGTTGTTGTTGACGAGAGATGTAGATTTTGTCTTTGTTCCTTCTATGGAAATGCCGGTAGTAAACCAGCATGTCTCGGGGTGCCTTCGCGATCAGTGAGAGGAATACGTATGCGGCTGCAATAACGCTGACGCGTCAAAGGCCTAAAAATAGTTCGGTCATCGGACAAGTGTATTCAACGTAAAGATTCAAAGCGGCAAATTGAAAGAATAATTGATGAGAATTATGTTCCTAACCTAAAATAATGAAGATTTTTTCTGTTTGTAGTTAAACACTTAATCTGATCTCAGTTTTATTTTCGACCAATTTGTCACAATCATTGTGCCGAGCCAATTGGCATTATTGAGCATCACTACCGGCTAGCGATTCGTATGAAAATAGAAATTGCTTCTTAATTTTAATACAGTATATTTTCTCTTATATCTAATATATAAAATAGATTTTCTCATTTGCGAATGTATGACTCAAGATGCCACACGAACGGGGCGTCTTTTCCGCTCACAGACAAAGTATCTGCGTAAATACGTACACATATAGACAATAACTGGTAACTAAACCGCTGTAGATCACCCGACCCGGCTTCATGTACTGTCGAATTCTTTATTGAAAGGGTTCGGTAGCATGTTGCAGTGATGTCTTTGTGATTACGTAGCTAGCTAGCTAGCTAGCTAGCTAGCTGAACCGGCAACATGGCCGGGTCGTAACAGCTTGCAGATGCTCTTAAGCTGGCTCCTCTGTCTGCTTGAACCCTCTGAAGTATCATAGTGACCATTCGTACCGCACAGCCCTTCCACTGATTCGATAAGTGTCAACAACTATGACAACGTCAACATCAGCGACAATTTTCCACGTCCGCACCCAACGCGGGACAGGTAGAAACTGTTGTACGTCTATAGGTTATTCTCGACAGACGCCATGATGCTTGAAGTAGAAGTAGACTATACTGAATCAAGTAAGAGGCCATTATTGATTATAAATATACGCTGTTCAATGATATCAGTGACTTCATTTTACAAGGACTGCTGGAATATCTGCTAAAATCAATGCGGTGATGTAACTTAATAATAAAATCTAAGCCATATTACTGTTATATGATCAAGCGTGGAAATATATATAAGATTAATAGCTGGTAATACAGTTAGTATTAATGTCATCATAAGGTCGAAAGCTATTTTTTGACACGCTAGAGTGCACCTCAATGAAGGTTTAAACATTTCCTGAACGGACTCTGTTATCACTGAGCTGCCCTAAACCCTACGACGAGCGTAATTTTATCACACACGAATGAAATACATACAACTTAAAGAAACGTTAAATACGTTGAATTGTAGTGCATATGGATCGTAAACTCACTAGCTAGGCGGGGTAATTGCTACATCAGAGTTTAGACAAATTGAATTAGCTATCGTAAAATGCGAAACTCCATATAGCGTCATGAGTTCGGTGTCTTGTAGGGAAAAAGCACCAACTTGACATTCGCGTAATGATAACAAAGTCACTGACCTTGCGCCCTTTATAGAACTGTCCAGCGTACCGGAATTGTTCAGATGGCGTACAGCTAAAGATAACTAACTACAAGACCCACTAGAAGAGATATATGGCAAAATATAATCATAGCAGGCGTGAAAGACAACCATGGCGTTTGGTGATTTGTTTCTTTGCGGACACAACGA